GACTCCCTCCCTGGTCACTCCTCAGATGGCCTTTGGACGTCATAGAGTGCTCAGGATTGAGTTTCTCTCTGGGATTGTCGCATTGTTAACAGAGAAGTAGACCAGCCCTCACATGAAGCTCAGGCATGGGGTGGTTCCGATCGTCTGGGCTCTGCCCAAACCAATGTTCCTTGCGCCTGGGAAAAGCACCAAAAGCTTTTCTGCTTTCCCTGGCTCCCAGCGGTGGTTTGCATTAGGAACAGAATGGCCAGATGTGCGGAGGACACGCTCCTCCACTTGAAGCTCACTTAGGGTGCTCTCAAAGTAGACGCCTGCCTCAAGTGGACCTTTGGACTTTGCTTTGACTCATGCAGGCTTCCTCCCCCACCCCTGGGCCTGTCCCAGCTGCCTCGGTGCCAGGATGTTCTGGCTCTTCACACACAAACGCCAAGACGGACGGTTCGAAGGGGACTCATGAGGCAGCGGGGCCTGAACTTGACCCTGCAGGTCTGGAGGCTGAGGACTGGAGAGCCCCGCCACCTACCGCCAACACTCAGAGGCTTCTGGGAAGGCCGAATTGGGCCTGGGTGGGGTGCTGGCCTGGAGTAGTGGCCGTGACCCTAAGCAAGTGTTTGAGTCTGTTTCCTACTCAGAGGGCAGCACCGTTAAACCAGGAGAAATCAGAACCAACAGAGAGAAAGACAAAATATGCAGAGGCAGTGTGGATTCCAAAGATCACAGGGAGGAGCCAGGAGGAGGAGGCGGGGTCCAGTGCCAGGGGGAGGGGAGGAAGGTGGATCTGGAGCCCCCCCTGGACCCAGGACAATGGATATTCTCTGGCTCTGGCGATAACAGGATTTGGAGGTACCGAGCCAAGTATGCAAATGAACTCAAAGCTAGAGTTGGGCGGGGCCACAGCGGGAGGATTTACGAAGGCTCTGCAAGTGGGTAAGTGCTGCGGCTTCCAAAGGCTGGCTCCCTCCTGTTTGAGCCCTTCTGCTGACTCAGAGGACAGGGGTGACTCCGGGGGCCCTTTGGCAAGGGCTCCCAGCGTGGGAATCCACCCCGCAACGGCCCTCGGTATCTGCAAGGTCCATGGTTGTCGCCGCCAAAGGAGTAGTGCGGAGAGGGCGGGCTGGGGCTCAGCAGGCTTCTGACCTGGTGTGATCTGAGCCTGCTCGTCCTCGACGCAGTGTGGTTTTCCTGCTGCCTAGGAAGGACTGAACTTTGTTTTAAAGTATAAAATCCACAAAAATTGCAAATAAACAATCTAGGGCGGTGGATTTAGCTCAGTGGTCCCGCCACCTGCCTCACAGCCCGCAAGGTAGTGAGCTTGATCCCCCGTACCTTAAAAAAAATGCAAATAAAATACATGAACAGAAACACAGCTGGGAACATCACAGATACCCTGGCCTCGTACCCAATGTACGAATGTAGTGAACATTCAGGTGGGATTGCAGGGCCCTCTGGACACCCTGCCTAGCACACGGCCACGTGTGGCGGCCAAGAGCCCTGGAAGACACTGCCACTTGCCCCTCTCTGTGATATGGACATGGGGTCTTTCATGGAAAGCCTCAGACCCAGGGATCCTTCTATGTCCTGGCTTCCATGTCCCTGAGGATGGAGACCCATTCTCCTGCTCCCCTGGGGGCCAGGGCTAAACTGCTAGGGATGGCAGTTGTTAATCGCCCCCCACTTCTGGGGACCAAACTCAGGGTCTTTGCATTGAGCCACGTCTTCAGCGGTTTAATTTTTTTATTTTTGGATGTTGTCAAAATAGGCTGGGCTGGAACTTGCAATCCTCCCCTAGCTTCTAGAGAAGCTAGAATTTCAGGCATATGCCACCATGCCCAGTGCTGTAGATTTTTTCCAAAGGCCTCCTCTATGCCTCTATGCCTCCTGCCCCCAGCGGCCCCCTCTCCTACGGCTGGCTGCAGTGGGAAAGCATTTACTAAAGGAACCTCAGATTCCACTGGAGCAGGGAGCAGCTCCTAAATGTTGGCAGGGGCCCTCCCAGGAGGTGTCTCCCAGGTGGGGCAGGTTTAGCTTCTTCTTCCCAGGGAGGGTGTGGCTTTACTCTGGGTGGAGGCTGGGACTCAATTACAGGAGTCAGGGGGTAGAGGTCTCCTCATTCAGAACCTGGCTCTCAGAGAAGAGCTAGGCTGGGACCAGAGGTGGGGGTCCTGAGTGAGGCTGAAGCTGGGCACAGGAGCTGGGGACAGGGGTGGCCTGAGGCAGGCAGCCAGGAGGGACCCAAGGCCACTGTGAAGAGGAGCTGCTTTGTCCCAGGCAGAGCCCTGCAGCCCTCCCAAAGGCTTCCTCAGTGAGACGCAGCTCCATTTCACAGACAGGGCAGTGAGGCTTGGCAGCAGCATCCATTCGTGGCCTTGCTGGATCCCAAGTCAGGGCTGAGTTTCTGTCTGTCCCTCTCTTGGGTTGCCTTGTCCTCAGGACACGGGGACAGGAATTGATAAGGCTCCAGCCACTGGGACACAGAGGGTGATGGTTGGCCAAGCTGCTTATCCTCTCTGCTCCGAGGAAGTGGCCAAGCCTGCCCTGTCCTGCAGGAGAGGGAGCGTGTCACCCCCGATTGCTGTCCGACAGAGGACATTAGGGTCATTGCTAATGACCATGGTGGCAGGAAGACAGGCTTCCATGCAAGAATGCCTGTGAACCCAGGTGGCACCCAGGAAACCCTGGGGCTGGGGACCTGAGCACCATCTGCTTGGCCCAGGCTCTAGGGAGGTCTAGAAATCACCCCAAAAGGGCCAGGGAAGGGAATGCATGGATTCAGCCACCCTCTCCCATCCTGCCCTCTGTTCTGCCCTCCCGCTGGCAGGATCCTGGACTCAGCTGAGCCAGGGCTGTCTAGGTAGACACAAGGGACTTCTATCACCACGGTCACATTTTCACTGCCACGGCCCCCCCTCCTGGGCTCTCTCCTAGGTTTCTGGGCTGAAAGGGAAAATAGGGGGCTACTTAATCAGCCTCTTTGACCCCTCTAAGTGGTAAGAGTGTCTAGATGTCCTACTGGGGGCCAGGCTGGTGTCCTGAGCAGGAAGAACAGCCAGTGTCCCTGGCTCAGCTGTCCCTTCCCGCAAGGGTCTAGGTTTATTCTACAAAGGTAAATAGAGACTGCTCTCTTCTCTGCTTGAGAAGCTGCCCCGGACCCCAATGTAGAAACTGGACCTTGAGGCCAGAAGCCCAGTGGGGGAACCGATGCATTAGACTGAGGAGTAGATCCTGCTCCCCACAGCCACCCTGTCTGCCCCAGACACACACGCATCATGGTGATACCTCATTCAACTCACCTAGAGTGTAAAATCAGAAATTGTGTCCGCTACCCCGACTCTTGTTAGATCAATCCAGCTTACACACAGCAGGCCAGACAGAGTGTGAGGTTTCTGTGGAATTAGGCTGTGTCCCCAGGGGCTGCCTCAGAGCTACCCAACTTTTCTGAAAACTGCCAGGCATCCTTTTGCATAATTTATCAATTATGCACAATTCAATTCATTGTAAGTGGGAGGCAGGCAGGAGGCCTGGCCTGGGAGGGTGGGGACCCTGGAGCATTGTGTTCAGGGAAAGAAAACCCAGATCCTCACCTTCCCAGCTAGAAGTGGAGGAAGGAATTTATGCTTGTGGGGATAAAAGCCAAAAAGCAAGAGGTTTAGACCAGGGGATCTGAATGTTCTTCATGCAGTTCTAGAATTTGTTCAGATGCCCAAATTTCAGGTAGAACACTGTGGTGGATGAAAAGAGATGCTCAGAGTTTGGGCCTTGCCTGGCAGAGTGTGGGGCATTGACTGTGAGGCCCAGGCTGGCTCAGAAGGTGGGCCCCAGGTGGCAGTGGGTCCCTAGGCCACACCAAGGTGTGCTTCTCAAATCTGCCTAGTGGTTGTTGTGTTCATAATGCCACCTCTTTACATGTCTGGCACAATAACTTCTCGGTGTCCTGATGCTTTGTATCAGTTGAAGCAACTCGTCAGAGTTGGGGAGGCTGTGAGAATCCTGCTTTACAGACAAATACAGAGATAGATACCCAGGGAGCAGGAGTGATGTGCCCAGGGCCACCACGATCAAGTGTCAATGCTCAGGTAGCCTCTCTCCACCCCAACCACCCTGTCCCTCCCTCTCCCAGGCCCCACTGTCCTGGCACACTTTGTCCTGGTAGAAGCAGCAGAGGTTAGACTGTCTTCCTGCCTACACGAGGAGGCAGAGAATAGGACTGTCTTCGAGTCCCAAGCATTCAGTTAACAACATGCCCCATGGGTGATGGATAAAGGAAAAAAAATCTCGGGGAAATGGAGACCAGAAAGGCACAGCTTGCTAATACCAATCTCCTAACTTCCTGTCCAAAGAGCTATTCCTTGACCCCTGACCTCTACGCCACAATCAAAGGTCTATCTGCAGGCTCGGTGGGCTGGCTGGAAGCCACCCCGAAGGGACATTGCCTCTTTCTCTGTTCACAATCCCGCCATCCTGAACACTTGCCCATGGCCACAGTGTCCAAAGCAACGAGACTTGTGGGAGAACTGGGATTTGAACCTAACCCCAGCGGGAGCCCTAAATCTGCACTTAATCTATCATGCCACGGTTCTGCCACTTTGTCTTATAATTTTCGTTTTAAAATTTCTCACTTTGGGGCTGGGGATTTAGCTCAGCGGTTCAGTGGCCTGCCTTGCAAGCACAAGGACCCAAGTTCAATCCCCGGTACCCCCCAAAAAAAATAAATAAATAAAATAAAATTTCTCACTTTGGGGCTGGGGATTTAGCTCAGCGGTTCAGTGGCCTGCCTTGCAAGCACAAGGACCCAAGTTCAATCCCCGGTACCCCCCCAAAAAAATAAATAAATAAAATAAAATTTCTCACTTTGATCTTTGTGGGACTGTAGCTATGCAGGTGGGAGCAGGGATGGCCAGCCACATTAGAGATGGGAGAACTTATGCTCAGACCACTGGATGGGCTTGCCAAGGCTGCAGCGCTCAGGGCACAGCCCTCACACACTGCAGGGGCTGGGTGGGGTTCACATAGGACCAGTTAAACGCCTCAAGTTTATTGCTAGTGAATCGTGGCTCAGAGTTCATGCTACGCCTCTGGCTCCAAAGCAGCTATTCAGTGTCCAATCGTTGCTTGGGTTTGTTTGGTTTTATTTTTAATTTTTTATTAGGGGGCTGAGATGAACATTTGAGGGAGCAGAGTTCCCACTGCAAAGAGCTCACCAGGGCGAGATCTAACTGAGGAGGGAGCCTCGGGGCTACTGAGGCTGAACCAAAGGCAATTCTGCTCTGCTGAAATGCTAAATAGTCTGCCTGGCAAATAAAAGCTCAAATGATGAAACCTAATAAGCCCCTCATTATGCTCCTGGAGGAGGCCACAGTGGGGAGACAGGATGAAGTCAGGGAGGCCTACTGGTTGTCTCTGAACACAAGGGTCAGTAAACTGAGGGTGTGCTGGGGTGGGGAGAAGCGGAGTGAGCCCCAGTCTTGTTCTGAGAAGGTCTGGAAGCCCCCCACAGGCTGCACCACCCCGGTCTTGGAGGGAGCAGGCAGGTTTTGGGGCAGTGGGAACCACCTTGGCTCAGCCGGCTGGAGCTGAAAGGCTTTCGCGGATGGCCTGCCTGGAGATGCCTGCAGGGGCAGTGATGGCTGCTTCTGTCTGGAAGCAAACTCTTCAGCCACTGTTTTCTCCAGCCTCTGTGGAAATGAAAACCAGGAAGCTAAGTGGTGGGTGATTATGGGGTTCAACTTGCTTATTAACAGCCCACAAAGGATTATCATGGGGCTTCTAGGAGAAGCCCGCAGAGGCCTGGCAGTGTGGTGGCTGCTTCCTTCCTGGCTCTGGCACTGCTTCTCTTGACTCTGCCTTCCATGCAGCCCGTGCTCCGGTCCTGCGATCCCACTGGAGTGGTGGGAAATGGAGAGGCCAAGCCCTTGTGAACTGTGCTTGCCCAGGGCTGGGGGGTCAGGGACTGTGCACCCCTGCCCCATGGTATCTTCTGTAGACATTTCCAATTGCCCTTTGGAGCAGATCACATAGGCAAGTTGTTAGAATAGTGTAGGGTAGGAGTCTTGTCAAATCCTGTTTCTACAAATAAAGTTTTATTGGATACAGGGGCTCCATTCTTTTGCATGTCACCTATGGCTGCTTTCAAGCTGTAAGTTGTGTATCTGCAATAGAGACTCTCTAGCCTACAACATCTACAATGTTTGCGCTCTGTTCTTGGAAAAGAAACACTGGCTTCCCCTAGGTAGGGGCGGAGTTCAGAGTTGCTTACATATAGATTGAAATGTCCCTTTTACTTTCCTTGTGCTTCACCTTGGACGTGCTACTTCCCCCTTCCCCGGAACCTCAGTCTTTCTGCTTGTAGAAGAGAGGTAATGATGTACTCAGCTCATGCTTATCATACTTTATTATTACATTTAATAGACTTTATATTATATTTTAGACATTGTCTCGCTATGCAACTCAGACTGGCCCTGAACTCACTGTGTGGCTTCAAACTCTCAGCGATCTTCCTGCTTCTGTCTCCTGAATTCTGGGATCAGAGAGGGTGCACCACTGCATCTGGCTCTGGGTTTACTCTTTTTTTTTTGTACCGGGGATTGAACTTGGATCCTTGCACTTGTGAAGCAGGCAGCGGAACCACTGAGCTAAATCCCCAGCCCTGGGTTTACTCTTTTAAGTGCTTGCAAGCCCTGACTTGTTTCCTCCTCACAGCAAGTCTGTGGGGTGGGTGTTGAAAGGCTCCTACCCATTCTACAGAGCGGGCAGCACACTCCCGGGGAAAACATGGCACCGTCCATTCAAGCACAGGCTGTGCCACGTGGCCTGCCCCGAACTCTGTGAAGATTAAAGGATAGGGACCAGCAGGGCTGGGCCACTGGGTCCAGAATGCAGCAGGAGCTCACGGATCCCTTCACCCTCTTCCCCAAATCGCTTTGCTTTACAAATCTGTCCAGAACAAGGGTCCTGGTCCCTCTCCATTAAATGGACTGAGGCCCTCATTCCCCGCCAGTCCCCGCCGGAGCTTGTGAACGTGGAGGAGGCCATGAGTCTCCTGGCACTCTCCCTCTCCTGCCGCCACCTCTCCCTCCTACTGTTTAGTTAATAATAACATATCATGTTCTGTCTCAGATGCATATCAGTGGTGTGTAATTATTTATGGAGAAATAGACAGATGAGTCCCTGCTCGGACCATTTTTGCAGGCAGCCCTACCTATCACTTAGCATCCCTCTCTCCCCTAGTCTAATAACACTGTCCACTTTAGATCCCGGGGCCTTGATTTATTAGGTAATTTGTTTCTTCTCTGTGGCTCGGGTCTGCCTGTCATCAATATAATAGAATGATGGAAGTGCAAGCTGTAGACACCAGACATTAAAAACTAGGCAAATATTACCCATTTCAACTCCTTGTCCAGCCACAGCCAATCAGCGGTCCTCGGCCGCTGCTTGTCTGAGAAGAGGAAAAAGATGACGGAGGGACACCCGTTGCCTGACTTCTTGCAAAATGGCTCTTTGCAAATTGGGCTGCTGGGCCGCTCTGCTGGAGGCAGCTTCTGGGAAAACGTCCAGCAGAACAGACGTGTGCATTCATATACATGGACTTGTGTGCAACACAAAGTGCATGTATGCATGCAGGTACACGCAGAGCAACCTAATCTGAGACTGGAGAGGAGGGAAAGGGACCGACTGTGCCCCAGCTCTGCCACACTAACTAGCTGTGGAGCAGGGGCCGCTGCCCTGTCTCCCCTGGGCCAGCGAGGAGGCGGAGTGGATGAGCTGCGAGGGGCCTTCTAGCACCCACATGCTGTGGTAGGGCCAGGGTTACACGGAACATAAGAAGCCATTGGAACCTGAGCCCCTGCTGGCTGATGCCCACACGTGCTTTTAACACATCCCCACTTCTGGCGCCGATGAACTGTGATCACAATCACCAGTCTTTTCCTGACCAATAGCTTTATCACAATCACTGACATCATAATCAATAAGTGATCTTTACTTGCCCCACGAGAGACTCATCTGCCCAGTTGTCTCTTAAGAGCATCTCACCATCTTCACCATCGTGATGCTAATTTCACCAGAGATTTGACACAGTCCACGTGTCACAAGCAGGGTATTAGTGAATCTGCACAGCGACCCGAGAAAAAAGGGCGGTATTCCTAATTGTCTTCATTTACTATGTAAGGTGACTGAGGTGTGAGGTGGCTGGTTAACCTTTTTGAAGTCAAGCAACAGGAAATGCCTGAGTTAGGATGTGAACTGTCCGCCTCCGGAACAAGCTTGCGATCACCAGCATCATTATCACAAATCCTCTCATCGGTGTGAGCACAACCATGGATGAACGTTAGTGTCACCAAGTCATTCAGCAGCACCTTTTTCTATTTTTTTAATCTTTTGGTTTTTTGGGGCTGGGGATTTAGCTCAGCGGTTTGGTAGCCTGCCTTACAAGCACAAAGACCCAAGTTCAATCCCTGGTACCCCCCCAAAAAAAATCTTTTGTTTTTTTGAGAAAGGCAGCCCAGGATAGCCTCAAACTCATGGCGATCCTCCTGCCTCAGCCTCCCGAGTGCTGGGATGTCAGGTGTGCGCCACCACGCCCGCTTCAGCAGCATCTTTCTGACCACTCCCAACATCATCACCAGCACCAGACGGCATGGCTGGTACTGACGGCAGCTTGGACACCATTAATCATCAGTAACACTGTCATTGTTGCTGTCGTCAGGACAGCCTGCACTAATGTCATAATCCATGCTTTCTGAGAAAAAGCATTATTTTAAGGTCATCACTAATACTGATGATCACTCTTACTCTCACAAATGTCACTAGCGGTGTTATGTAACCATCTTATCAAGAACAGAATCGTCAAGGCTGTCACGAGCCTCGCCATCCATAAGGCACCAGCCGCCATCTCGTCCTCGTCCTCCTCCTCCTCCTCTTCCTGTGGGGACTGAAACCAGGGCCTTCACTTTGAACTGCGACCCTAATTTTTCTGTTCTGAGACAGGCTGTTGCTAAGCTGCTGAACTGCATTCACAAGGTGCCCCGGGCGCCCCCAACTCAGCTGTGCCAATTACACTCCTCCGATGTTGTCAGATGTCCCCGGGGGCACCTAGCTCCCTGTCTGTGAACCACGGACAGACTGTGTACTCAGCGCTCTTCCAAAAGCCTGGAACCGTAAGTGACTAACAGGCACCTGGGGGTGGGGCCACAGAGGCCTATTCTAGTGGGCAGAGACAGACAACAAGCACGATAATGAGGCAGTTGTGTCCCTCGAGAAAGTGACTTATTATAGGAGCAAGTACAGCATACTGGGGTGATCGCAGGTACTGGACAGGGTACAGTTTTTGTTCGTTTGTTTTCTGGTACCGAGAATCGAACTCAGGACCTTGTTGAACTTTTTATTATTTTTTGGTTTGATGCTTGCATATATTACGACATGAACGTATATCATAGTAACGTTTACTATATTTATCTCTCGGCTGTCTCCAGATTCAGAACATAAGCTCTGTGAGAGCGCAGTGTCTCTGTCCTACTGATCATCCCGGGTAGCCAGTGCCAAGCACGGCATGCGTCCCCTGGAGACCTCAGCTCACGTGGCCATCCTGAGAGGCAGAGACCTGGAAATGAGCAGGCGCTGCAGTCCTGTTCCCGACATCCCAGGGGCCCCTCACACCCCCGTCCTCCCCGCAGCCGACACCGAGCCAGTGCCTGCGCCAACTTCACTGACGATCGGGTAGCCGCCCTTCATTTCCGCTCAGAGTTCATTTCAAACACTTGCTGGAGTCTCTTCGTGCGTGGGGGGCAAATCTGACCACGAAGCGTCTTGTCCGCCCCGCCAGACAGCTCTCCTTTCCGACCCCTGCCCTCTACCTTTGTTCTCCTGAGTTCCCCATCACGGGTGGTATTCAGGGCTGGACTTCAGGACCACGTTGCGGGATGCTGCCAAGAAGACTGAAGCCCTCCGTGAAAGAAGTGATTTGGACTTCAGAGAGCACCCAGGTTACCCAGAGAAGTCATTAAACAGATTGCTGGGGCCGCTCCTGGTATTCTGACTCTGCAGCTTAGGGGAGTGGCTCCAGTTGAGTCACTGTTGCTCCAGGTTCTGCAGTTCTGATATCCTCTGTTGTATTTGCTTGTTCTTGAGACTGGGCCTCACTGTGTCGCCCAGGCTGACCTTGAACTCCTAGGCACAGGAGATACTCCTGCCTCAGCCTCCTGAGTGGCTGAGACTACAGCTCTGCACTACCACACTTAGCTTTGCTAGTTCCTTTTTTCAAAAGCACAAAATGCAGCTGTCTGGGGCCTACCTGTCCCTTGTCTCTTGAATTTTGAACTTGTCTCCCCTTGAGAGCTTAAATGTCATTTTGTGC